AATGTGCTGGAAACAACACCACTACATTTATCTTAAAATTATTTCTTTTCAATTTAAGAGATAGTTCTGAAAATAGGCAAAAACAGCTGACTTTATATATATATATATATATATATATATATATATATATATATATTTGCAACTACAGAGAGGAAAGAGTCTGCCATTGGGACACTGAGACGTTCAAGTGTGTCTTGCTGAACGCTGAAGCATTTTATTTTCTATATTTTCCTCACCTTGTAGATAGAATTCGCGGTTAATTATTATGATTATTTGCTCACTCCCTTCCTCTTCAGTCGAGGACTCCCTGCTTTGTAGCCAGAGTTAGGCCAGAGCTTAGTAAAGGATGGTATTGTGGGGGTGAAGGAGGATGGGAGTTGAATTGAGGGAGGGGGGTAAAATGGCTGAGGTTAGGAATGTTTTTAGGGAAAGAGGAATTTGCATTAAAATACAGAGAAATTATCTGATGCCCAGAAAGGAAATGTTGATTGCCACTGAGCAAAGATGTCAATGCAAATCAGTAGACTGCGACAGGAGAATTGTATTTTCATATTTTCTTTGTGCCCCACTTCGTCTGATTTTTAATAATACAGCAGCAATAATAAAAACACGTTTTGGTCTTCCTCTGAACATTACTAGCCAAATGTTTTTCATAGAGCCCGATGTTAAATGTGTTTCATACATTAGGATATAATTCTTGTTAATTAGCAATAATTTACGTTAAGAGCATAGAAAATGTTGAGGTTACAGGTTTTATATCTGTACATTTGATCATCTTGTTATTTTCAAGAACTTTGCCTCCTATAAAATTAATTAGGTGAAATGTGGAGGTGTAATCAGCAACCTGTGAATTACCACTTCATTTCCTGGTTTTGATTGTAAATCAGTTCAGTCACTACGTTTAGAAGACTTTAGCCAAGTCTGTTTTGTACCGCAATACCTTTAACTATTTGATACCTAGGAGAATATTTCCTTTTCATCCTGAATAATAGTCCCACATTCAGAAATGTGTCAGGCCTTGGGAATAAAAACGAATCTTAACAGTGAAATTTGCAAAAATGGTTTAACTTTAATAAAACCTTTCTTCAGTCTGTAAACCACAGAACTTGTAGTTAATGCTAAACAAACAAAAAAGCTAGATTTGTCTATGTGTACTTAAAATCCTTTATTCTAATGGCAGAGATCTTGGAGAATGACTTCCCTATTACATTCCTTACTTGATCAAAATGAAAGAAAATGTAAGAGAAAAATTACATAAAGGCACAATGCAGAAGCGCTTGGGTTCATCTCCTTCCATTTGAAAAGTATCCATGTGCATTCTGTATTTGTCTTTTGGTCAGAATGTTGGGTGAAGAAACATTTAAATGCTTACTTTGCTGTCTTTATTAGTAAGGATATAACCTTCATATTCCTGTAGTGACCTTATGTTAAATTAGGAGGCGTACCAGAGGCTAGAAATTATGACATGTCCTACTTGAGCACAGGTGCAGCTAGGCAGGGCTCTCTCAATATTATTTCACCCAGCACATCTGGGAGTTACTCCAGATCTTCCCCCTCAATATTCAGCCTGGGTAGGGTTGAAATAAATTTAACCTGAGTTCACTGGATTTTTGCACTTTATCAAAAATCTGTTCCAATATTCTACACTCAAATTAAAATCTATTTTTTGATTCTCTGTGGCTTTAAGTTCATTAAATGTGAAATTGGCAGCTTGCTAAAGAAGGTCAGACTGATTAACTGTTTAAGACTTGTACATTTTCTGCTTCACTTTTATTAACTGGCAACATCCTGGGTGTGTTTTGTATTTTGTGATTTTTTTTTTTTTGCATACAGCAAGCATAAGGTTTCATGAGCAGACTTCTCAGTTCTCCTTTCCCCTTTGGAATGTTTTTTTAAAAAATGATAAAAGCTGTTCAAATAGATGCTAGGGTATTTTGGTGCAGTTTTTTTTTTTAAGCGAAGAAGAAAGAGACATGTCTACCTTGTTATGCCATCCGCTGACAATTATGTGTGCAGAAATAGCCCCATAATGAAGCGTTTTGGAGCTCATTCAGAAAATTAGTCAACTTTGACAACATTAGGGGAAGTATTTTAAGTCTGAAGAAAGGACTTCTCAGCCTTGTTCTGAAATGTAGCATTTACTTGACCATTCTGATTTTTATGTCATGGATGCCACCAAGTGCAAAAATGTTTTATTTTAGGCATTCCTTTCTTCACAATGAAGAAATGACTAATTGGCTTATTTTCTTAAGTACTCAGAAGTATCCCATTTAGCTGTGTGTCTCAGAATTGCCAGGGAATTTGGTATTTCTTTGATTTTTGTGACACTGCTGAGAGTGAGATCAGAAAGGTTTTTGGCAGCATGAATTATAGTGCGATATGATTTTTATTCAGATCAGTTCACAGGTGAATGCAGTAGTTTTCTTATTATGGCAGTGTAAATGTGGCACATTTTCTGTATGGTGTAGTAGCTTTCTAATTTATGAAGCTACATCTGTATACTTAGGAGTATGTACATTCACACACAAAGGGTGTGTGTGTTTATTCACATCTTTTATTCTTTGGTACAATAGACAACTTCATGTACAAAAGAAAAAGAAACAAATTTGGTTTCAATCCATGTTTTTACCAGTTTTTCTTGTACTTATCACTTAAGGTTTTTTAATGACCCCTGTGTTAACTATTTAAGTCACATTCCTTACAAACTTACGAACCATATAGTCATATTTTGTGTGTGTGTGTTCATGTTCATGTTCTCTGGAGTTATGAAAGTCAAACTGATTTCTTTAAATACATGATGATTTGCACTCATTGGTACATTTACTTTCTTGTTGATAACCTCCACGTCCTTATACATTTTGTGTGCTCACATTTTCTGAGTGTTTTATGGAGTAGGCAAGAATCATTTTACATATTGTGGTAAGGTGGGATGGGTTGCGAATGTATTTTGCCTCTTTTCTACCCTCCCTAGCACTCTTTAATAATTGTGCTTTTGTTTCTCCAACCACAGCCGAACCTCTTGAAGCCATTCTTACAGATGATGAACCAGACCACGGCCCATTGGGAGCTCCGGAAGGGGACCATGACCTCCTCACCTGTGGGCAATGCCAGATGAACTTCCCATTGGGGGACATTCTTATTTTTATCGAGCACAAACGGAAACAATGCAATGGCAGCCTCTGCTTAGAAAAAGCTGTGGATAAGCCACCTTCCCCTTCACCAATCGAGATGAAAAAAGCATCCAATCCTGTGGAGGTTGGCATCCAGGTCACGCCAGAGGATGACGATTGTTTATCAACGTCATCTAGAGGAATTTGCCCCAAACAGGAACACATAGCAGGTAAATGAGAAGCGAGGAGAAAAGCTGTTTGCATGTTTTCTTTTAATTTTCAGAGGCGCTTTAGCCAAGTAGTAAGGAGTGGTGAAGTGCTTTCTGTATTTCTCCATGTGACTGTCCATGACAGCCCTGCAATGTTAAAGTAGTAGTTCCCATTGCTTACATCCAGAACACAGAAAATAAATATTTTCCACCTTATGGAGTCAGATGTAGGTGGAATAGGTACACACACCTGATACCCTCTCTGGATCTGCTGATTCTGAATTTCTTTCCTCTTCTTGGCTGCCTTCTCATTTTAAAGTATTGGACCCAACTACATTACGCCCAGCTCAGTTTCCAGTGTCCATTTTCTGCTTTGGTGACATGGCAGAGGCAAAATGGCCATATAGACATTTGTAGTTCAGCCAGTGATCTGTCTGCCTCAGGATACCTGGTTGGGCCTCTGTAGTGGTGCACTTAGTTCTCTGGGCTTCCCTGAAGTGAGGGGGCCTGCCAGGGTGGTGTAGAGGGGGTGGAAAGAGTTAACTGAGCTCCAGGGCTAGCCTTGGATCCATACTGGCTGTCAGCTCGTATGGGGCTGTAATTAAACACAGCCCCGTGGTGGGATGACACTGTGACCTTGACTTTAAGATGCCATTTTCGACTGGCCAGGCCAGAGTAGAGAGGGCAGTTGCTGAAGCGCACAGACACGCTTACTCGAAAAGTTTAAGGGCGTGTTGGAAATTTCAAAAGGTTGGTTTGACAGGAACGGCTGCTCCCTGCAGCCTGCCTCCTCAGCTCAATGATAAATGCTTCTCTGTGCTCTCTCTTGTCTCTGATGTGGTTTTGACAGATGTATCTTGATTTTGTTTGTGGTTTACACAACCACATGTCACCCTTACAGATGTCCAGTCCAGACTCCACTGTTTCTGCTATAATACAATGTAAAAATTTTCTTGGGAAAATGCATATACATATTCAAGAGCTCTCCTTCCTTCCGTTAATTTTACGAGGAAGGTAGCTAGGTGTGTAGGTTTCTTAGTGGCCCAAGAGAAAAGGAATTAAAGGCTAATAGAGGGACTTAAATTCCCCACTCTGGATGATAAACAACAGTGCAATGTAGTGACCCTTAAAACATTTATTTTTAAATTTAGCAGATTAGACAAAATTAATGCAGATTCTATGATGACAGATATGCCACACCTGTCAGTGCTTCACTTTCTTCCATCTCTTCCCACTCCTGGAAAGGCAGAAATTTTGTTCAGTTTTAGGAAAGGTAGTGCATATAATCAATGGATTCAATGGAACTTGTTTCTCCAACATAGTTTGACTATAAAGTTGAACCATAATAGGTCAGTGGGGCGTGGGGAGTTAAATGACGTATTATTTCTCCTCTTTCCCTCTGGAATTTGATCATTAAAATCAAATGTGGCATTTTCTTTCTTCTTTTTAAAAACACATTCTACAATAACATCCAGATACTTTTCCTTTAGTGAAATGAGAAGTCTGGTACAGGGAAGCTGCATTTGCAAGGTGTTTTCCTTGAATCCACCATATTTAGCTTATGTGATGTGTAGGTTAAGATTTTTATCTCCCCCACTCCCCAGTAGTACATGACAATGACCATTTCCATGTGCTGCCTTGTGACTGGAAGGAAAATGAACAGAAGTGTAAGGCATGATTGATGAAGCAAGAGCAGGCGGAAGGGGATTTGTCGTCTTTGGAGATCCAAAGCCTTGCTAAATCACCAAATATGGAGTAACACTTGCGTGATGTAACATCGTATTTACATATCGAGCTGCTCGTTTAAAAGACAAAACACAGTGTCTGTCAGGCAAGAATTAAAACCACAATTCTTGCTGAGGTCCCGGATAGGTTATTCATTCTCAGATTAGCCAGTTTGAAATTCTGGGCCTCTGTATTTAGAGGAGGAATCTGAAGGCTGGAGAGGGCCTTATAAATAGTTAAGGCTTTTTAGGATAGATTATTCATTCTCAGATTAGCCAGTTTGAAATTCTGGGCCTCTGTATTTAGAGGAGGAATCTGAAGGCTGGAGAGGGCCTTATAAATAGTTAAGGCTTTTTATTCTTACATTGTGAATCTGCATAGTGAAGGAAATTGGCTTTAACTCCCTGGTTGTCATAATGATTCTGTTATTTTATTTTTAAGAATTTGTACAATAGCAAAGCCTAGGGAAGCCAAAAAAAAAAAAAAGAAAGCAAATTTAAAATATATTTTACAGGGCTAGTACTACATAATTTCACCAAGTCAGAAAGCTATCTAAGGTGTCTTAAGATATTCAATGGGTGCACAAGTGCTGTGACCCAGGTGAGGTAAACCTTTCATGCACAAATAATTACAAAGTCTTGATTCCTTTCATTGTGTTTAATCACCTGTTTCCACACTGGAATTGGCTGAACATAAATAGCATGGTCACATCTCAAAGTGAGATGTCAGTAACTAGAATCATGACTTCTCATAATTCATAGTAATGAATTAAGAGTTTCCTATGGTGAAATTAACATTCTACCATTGCACATAAATTATGATGTTCTGGCCCTCAGGTGCCCCTGAAGTGAAGTTCTGAAAGGATGGCTGTGTATTCCCAGCCCATTTCTCTAAAGCATTTCACAATTACAGGCCTGCTTTTCTTTTTTATGATGAAGAAGGAAACAATAACAGTAATCATTCAGTAGATATTTAAATTGCATGTTACAAAAAGTAAGGAGAAGCAATGTTATACATTAGGAAAGAGATATATTGATGAATCTCCAGAGGAGTATGTTCAGCAACTACATAAAAGTAGTCATTTGAGCACGATGTATGGGAAAGGCTTTATTAAAGTGTGTAAGTTAGATTTGAGTTCACTGTGTGCTCTGTGCCATTTTATAGGCAGGAAGCAGGAGTAAAACAGTGACAGGTTTTCCTAAGATAAATAAAGCTTAGAATTGAAGGCTTTCAAATAGGAGAATAAGGTAGAGTTCTTAAGATCTGCAGTAAAATGGCATGTATTTTTGACTGTACTCAGGCATCCCAAGGCTGAGTATTTCTTGGAGAATGCTTTTTTCCTGGAGAATAGATGGACATGTGTTCCCTTACTCCATCCATGTACATGTTACTTGTACACACAGACTTTGATGAGGTTTCTTTTTTTCACTTTATTCAGATAGTCAAGATATTGTGTGATTGTGCTCCATGGAGACCATTGACTAGAAATTAACTAGAAATTAGCAGCTTATGTTGTATGGACCCTATTCATTGATATGTATGTCAAACACCCCCCCCCATCAGATATGAGCAGATTTTGACTGACAAGAGCTTTCAATATGGGTTTTGTTTTTGAATTTCTTATTTTATGATGGAGGGGTATTCGCTAAAGATTAGTGAATGTAGAATTGCTGATCCATTACAAAAAAGGCCGAAAATGTATCCCACAGTGTTAGATTAGAAGTTTTGGTTTACTGCACATTGGAAACTTTAAATTAGGGTTGGGCTATCATAAAATTAGCATATAGACAGAATAAGGAAAAATACTACAAATCCTATGAAATGCAGTAAACTCTGCTGTTATTGATATGTGACATTGTTTTCTTCTCAAAATAATGAACATAGACATTTTTATCAGGGTATTTGAAATTATACTCCTAGATAGTGTAATGATATGTAAGACAGCCTACTGAAGGGAGAAATACTAATTCGAATTAGAAATACATTAGCATGTTACAGGTAAATCAAGTGTAATATACTTACACTTTTCAGAATTTAGAAAATTGACTTGCCTTTTCTACTTGTACCCATTCTAATCCTTTCCTAGCTCAGCATGAACTGGAGGATGTATTTGTATACTTTCTGGTATAATTGTAAATGAGATTATAAAGTATCCATTATGACTACTTATTTTTCATTTCTTTTTATTTGTGTGTTTCTGAATAAAAACTACTGACCTCTGAAGTGAATTTTCAGCCTAGCAGCTAGCTGAAACAAAAAACACCACTACAGAAAAAAAAAAGAAAAGAAAAGAAAGCAAAAGAAACCAACACCATACTGGCAAACATTTTATTTACCTTTAGAATCCAGAGAGTAGAGAATATTATTTCTTAATAAATATCTAGGATTTTCATAGGAAGCCTACTATGTCTGTGAGGTCACTATACCCAAAGACTCATGTTCATGAAACTGGAGTCCTATATACAAGCTGTATTTGTAAATAAGACAGAGAAAGGTTGTGAACTGGCAGCTTGGATGTTTTGTCAAAGTACAATGTCAGAGAAACTCTTTCTAAGACAAATTGTAAATAGAACTGTCACAGTGATTGCATGATTGAGCCGCAGAAGTGTCCTACAATTGTTGGCATTGTCAGAGGACTTTTGAAAGCTTAATTAAACACGGTGGCCCGCATGGCTGCTAAATTTACTTCGGATAGCCAAAAAAGAAAAAAAAAAATTCTGAAATGTAGAAGATCCCGAAGATCCGAAAGTTTTTCAGACATTACCTTTTTGGTGACACAGAAAAGATGCATTGTGCATTTTCCTAGTCGTCTTTTATAAATAATAGTTTTGAGAATAGGTCCACGTGATATGAAGATCATCCTGTGTGTGATGTGGAGATTGTGTTAGTTTTTCTGTCTCCTGCTGTTACAGACAGTTAATGTAAAAATGGCCTTTTATTGGAAACACAAATATGTATTCACTTCAGGAACAGGAGCAGAGGGGGACAAAGTTTCCCTCCCATTCTCTGTGTTTATTCTGTGAAAGCTTAAAAAAACAGTGCTGTCATTTCTCAAATCACCCCTTCCTTGTTGTGTTGCAGGTTGTGCCTTTTCCTTTAAAGGATCTGAAATATGTTTTGCACACCTTCCAGTGAATGTGGCATTTAATTGTGAAGCTGCCCATGGGCTGGAAAATGCAACTGGGTGTAGAGTCGCGCAGGCAGGGTCAGGACAGGCACCTTCAGCTCAGGGAAGAGGCGAGTTGGATGCATATTAATGGCACATTTTAGAGTCCTGGAAAATCATTAATTTCACA